AAGGGGTGGATCCACAACAGCGCTCTCTGATGTAACCTTTCACCTTTCCTTCCCTTGCTACCTGTTCTTGACATGAAAAAGGTCTCTGACCGAAAGCTTGCTTTATAAAAAGATTTTTGCACAATTTAAAATTTTTTCCCCATTAAGCTTAATAATCAATAGTTGCAGCGCCTCAGCTCAGTCTGATACTGGGTGAGCGGTTTTCTTATCTCTTCTCAGGCAACATTCGAAAGCACCGTCATTTCCTGATGAAAAATCATTGTCGTTATGTCATTTCAGCAGGACAGTGATTGCAAACACAAGAGGTATGTTTTAAACCTCAAGAAATATGAGCGTCCATGACCTCATTCCTCTGTCACTGTGAAACTTACCTTAAAGCTCCGTTCATTTACACATGAATCATTTTGTAATTATAATGTAGGCCTAAGCAAGGCATTTTATTGAGATATATTGGGATAATTCAAGAATATGTTAATGACTTACAATATTTAAAGGGATTTTGAAAACATCCTTTAATGTATAAAAAGGTTAGTTTTCAAGGATGAGGTTTTGAACCCCTTAAATTATGTAAACAAACTATTGAAAATACCTTTATATATTACAAGCCATCAAAATTAACCCCGCATTTGAGGTGAAGCCATGAATTTGCTCATTAATTGATACACAATACACAAAAAAAGCCGGGTTACTTGTCCTTTTGTCATTTATCAAGGAATATATCTTTTTTTAAATGAATCCTTTTTTCAAATTCATGGATAAATGAAAGGATCTCTGGCTAGCCATACAAAACTCCTTGATTTAGATATTTGGTGTATTTTCAGGGGTAAATTTAGAACTAGGTCTTGTTGTTTGTCAAGTACATGAGTCCACACTGCCAGGAAAATCACATATGAGCGTTCCAAATGTTGTTCAAACACAGGTTTATCATCTAAATTGATTATCTGTGTGCATGTACACCTACTACTTGGGTCTCATTTATGGAAAGTAAAAAAAAATAGACTTCAGCGGCTCTCGTTGTATTTGACTCTGAACATGTTTCCTAATTGTCCCTCTATCACTTATGCAACAATTACGTGAGTGTTCTGACCTTTGGTAAGTGCTTATCATTTAATTAGAAAAGAGCATAAAACTGCAAGGGGCCTGTATGTCATTGCCTCTTTTCCATCTGGGCTAGTATTTAAATGTGAAACTTTACATTATCCAGCCGTCCAATACGATATCAAAATAATACATCTGTTTACCATAACAAGATTGTTTTGTAAAAGACATTCAATGTGGTCCACTCACCAGGACATTCACAGGAAGAAATGACCCTGGTGCCAAAACACAGACCTCTGTGACCTCAAACAGTAAATGTCACTATGACTATAATTCCAAACACACAAAGGCTGCAGTCAGCTACAATTTACTGTCATTTGAGAAAATGAGTGATGCACATGAAAAAATAAATACAGCACTCCATCTTCACACCAGGTTCCTCAAGCTGAAAGAGGCCCCTCTCAGTTAAGGTGACGGAGACTAATGGAAGACCACGTCCATGCCCTTTTGGCTAATAAGGCTCAAAGGACTGCTCACATTAGCTGCAAAGTTCAAGCCTGTTTCCCTCTGTGACACAAATGACTTGACACCCAAAAGATACTCGCCTGCAAGCTCACATAAAGCCTTTTTTAATTAATTTTTTATTAAATAGGCTTTGAAAAGATGCTGCGTTTTTGTATTTACGACCAAAATAGACAAGAGTCTCTGTAATATATGATCATCATAACAACCGTAATCTCCACTGTCACCCGCTGTTATCAGTGTAAAGATAGTAGCATGTTTGCAGTATATACGTATTCCCCCACCTCATTTTCTACAGGAATAGCACTTGGACATGATGAGTGTCTCGACTCCATGTCAGTGGGCATCCTGCTCTTAATGTCTTCCTGTGGAAGATAAAGGGATGTATGACATGTCCTGTAGAGCAGAGAGATATGAGATGAGCACATCAGATAATGCAGCATCATTACTTCTTGGCTGGAGAGTTGTTTAACCATGGGATTCATATTAAATAAATAGTCCCTTGTCCTTTGCAGTGATTGCACAGTAGCCTATATTGTTGAATGTGGGGGGGGGGGGGTGCTGCAGGAATGAGTCCAAAACACGGAAATGAGCATTTTAGCACTTCCAGTTCCCTCGTCATAAAGTCAATGGGGTTTTTTTAAATGGGCTTTTGGTTGGATGCCTGAAATTCGTTGGTTAACACAAGCTTAAAGGGATATTTCATAATTAAAAATACATTTCTTTGCTCTTAGCTGAAGTGCTATCGCCGCCATACAGATGTCTACCTTCTCTCGAATAAAGTCTTGTGGCGCTCAAAGCGCTAAAAAACAACATTTGAAAAACTCAACAGTCTCCTACCAGAAATCATGACTGTAGGTTACTCAAGATAATTTCAGAAAAAACGCGCTTCGAGCGCCACAATTCGAGGGCCATAGTCCCGCCGTTACATTTGAGAGGAGAGGTCTCCACGGACGATATCTCCAAAACTAGGCAACTCGCATCCAAACAATCTAAATTTATTAATAACACCAGTAAGAGGAAAAATATGTATTTTTGAATTTGGGCTGAACTGTCCCTTTAAGAGAATTGAATGTTTTGTTCTACAATATAAAATGTGTCAGTAAATACCCCCTCTTGTGCATTTTGAAGCTTTTACGTGTCTTAAAAAAGGCGGTTGCTAACAAGTGGCTAAATGAGACACTAGTCCACCTTTGGCTTAGTGGTGGTGACACAAGCCCATATCTTTTTTTCTGCATTTATGCGAAGAAAAATCATAATAGTGGTTTCATTGTGAAGGTTATGTTGCTGAACAAAAAAACTTAACATATATATACATATATCAAAATCCAATAGAAAATCCCATTGGCGTTTTGTCAAGGCAACCGATGCAATGCTAATTTCTGGGTTCTACAAAATACTTTATCGCCAATCCTATTGATGTGACTCTTTCTTCTGTGGGTCTATTTGTTTCCTGCAAACGATGTGAAATCTACATAAAGAAGTGATGTTGAATAATACTGCTGTAAGCACCGTGTGCTCTCATTAAGTGGACTCTGGCAAGGCTATTATCTCCCAGGGACTCCTTTCAAAAGGAGTTAATTTCTCTCAGCGCCAGTGGAAAAAATCGAGACTTGTCTGCATGCTACACTGTTAACATCTGCTCGGCAATAGATTCATTTGTATTTACTAAAGCGGGATGAGGTCCATGCGCTGTCTCTGGAAGATAAAAACACAGCGCAGAGATAGCCATATGTTTTCTATGGAATGGAGGCAATAAATGTGGATTCAAATGACAGATCTCGGGCTCTTTACAGCCTGGTTTAGTGCATGAATGGGTCCCACAAATTGGAATGTCTTCCTGAAATAGATGGGAACTTCATGCAGGATATGAAACTGAAATATCTTGCAGCATTGAGCTACAGCAGTCAGCCTATTTTCTGGTTTCTCTGCTGTGACGCTGAGCGAAACAAAGCAGCAGATGCCACCGAGAGCCTCCATGAACCAGGCCTCTGTGTGTCTTCACAGATACAGACACTCAGATGGTCTCTACTGTCGGTCTGTCTTTGCTCCGTCTGTGTGGTAGACTTAGTTAATGACGAAGGCTTGCTGAATCACTCAGGGACTAAGTGTGCGCGATAAAGGTCAGCGCCGCCACCAGCTAATGCTTCATTGCTCAGAGTAATACTTTAGCCGAGCGTTTATTGTGAATACTCCGCACATGAACGCTTCACAGGGCAAAATAATCAAGAGAGTAGAGTCTGGAAAGCACAGCTGTTTCTGCTGTGCTTCTCTGCGGCAGCCACAGCAGACACAACCCGCACACACACACACGCACACACACACACACACACGCACACACACACACGCGCACACACACACACACGCGCACACACACACACACACACACACACACACACACACACACACACACACAGAGACACTCTTGACACTTGTGGATCCCAAACCTCTCCAAACACAGGATCAGTGATTAACAGTTGGTCGAGTCAGTCTGAAAAGTTTGCAGCATAAATAATTTACAACATATGCACAATATTTATATAAAGGGGGACAGAAAGGGACGATAATGGAGAACTAACACATTTTATTTGACTGTGGCTGCCTTGTAAATTTATAGAAAAGGAAAACATTTGTTTGAATTAACAGTGCAAGAGGAGTAAAGTGGCGGAAAAATCTCTCTAGGCTTCTATAGCCAGCCGGCACTGATTTATTTTTGCTTACTGAGGTCCATTAACATTTTTACGCTTTATTTATTTCTGTAAAAGCTCTCTGCAAATTCATAAGTACTAACAATGCTTGTGTTGAGAATACCAAGAATATAATGTCACGGACACCACGGCCCTTTTAGATGCCCATGCAATCAAATTACTAAATAGTTTTACTTATTTATTTAGTTATTTATGCAATATTTTGCTAAAAACAAAGATGAAGTAGCCTCAAGTACCTTGAAAAACAATTTTGAAATTTTCTTTTTTTCTATTTCACTTCTCCAAATTTGACTTATTTTGTGTCTGTCCATTATATTCAAGCCAATTAAAATAGGATTTTAATTCCAGTTTTGTAATGCGGGGGGGAGTAGTTGAATACTTTTGCACGGCACTGTATTGTGTTGTGATGTCACAAAATCGTCCTCGTGCATGTACATCTTCAAAGTCAGGGTTTAAGGTGAGCGCAGTTAAACTCTTCTTCGTCATTGTGCGCGGTGAGGGTCAACCATCAAAGTGACGTAACAGTAAGCGCAACACACTTTGCGTGGAGAGGGACGGACTTCTGTAGACCGGGTCCACGTGTGAGTGAGTTCACCTGGACCTCATTTACAGTGAATGAGGTCCTGTTGTGAGCACCAAACGTCCTGAGTTGAGCTCAGGTCACTTGTGAATACTCCCCCCCCCCCCCCCCCCCCCCCCCACCCCCGCTCCGCGCGCACTCCGGAGTTGAGGATGAAGACGCAGAACATCAGGACCCTCTCTCTCATCCTCTCTATTGTTTGCTACCTATTCATAGGAGCCGCCGTCTTTGACGCGCTGGAGTCGGACAGCGAGAGTTCCAGGAAAAGGGCGCTGGAGCAGAAGCTGGACGAGCTGAAGAAGAAGTTCGGCTTCACGGAGGAGGACTACGGAGCCATCGAGAGACTGGTCCTCCAGGCGGAGCCGCACCGCGCCGGGAGGCAGTGGAAGTTCGCCGGATCTTTTTATTTTGCCATCACTGTTGTCACAACAATTGGTAATTATGATTTCTCCATACCCGCTTCTTGTCTGAAAAACAAACAAACATAGGACGCGAGTTTGTCCGCTCTGTTTAAAGGTGGAGCCCTGATATAGGGCCCCTAAGGGGCCACTTATTAGAGGAGCAGATTGAAACTTTAAAGGGCTGCGATGCACTGTGAGGTGTTACATGATGCAACATGCAAGTTGTGTGTGATTTTGCAGAGGAACTGAACTTTGCCCTTGCCGTTTAACGACTTCCCATCGATTAGCACCTTGTAAACAATGAAGGACATCCCAGGAACATTTACGGTCCCTTAAAGGGATATTCCACCGAAAAATCTGTTCTTGTGAAACATTACCCCCAGTAGGGTTGCAAGTTAAAACGTAGTGAACAAAGATTCACACTGGTTACAATGAATTCTAATAGTGACCAGTTTTCACATTGGGTTCAAAATATCAAAACATTATAATTCCTCAAAACTTCTCACACAATATGTTTCGCTTCTCTTCTTTACATGCGTACGTTGGAAAAAAATACACTGTTCAAAACCTCAAACTTGAGAATAGCCACTTGTGACAATAATATAGTTGTAATACGTTCAGTGTAACAGGGTCCTGAGTGAGGATTGAGATGGTAGGCCTTTTTAATGTAGACCTATTAAGCCACGTTTTGATGAAGATATAACTGGAACAGTGAGCATATGGAGAGCAAAGTACATTATACAAATTTTGATACGTTTCTGTGGACTTTTCAATACTTTTTCCCACAGAGAACTGGTCACAGTCTCTGTGCTGTGTAGATTACTAGATTTATCTACTTGAATGTTCTTTTTTTTGTTGCGTAATGCATCTAATGCTAATGGCACAACAGCAGCTGAATTTCCTTTTGAAATACCTGGCAAAATATTGACCCCCAAGAACTTCCGTTCAATTAAATGATCCCGCATGTAATAAGGACACGATGTTTTGATGAGGAGTTCAGATGAATGATGATCAGACTGATCATAAACTGTAAACAGTGTATGGGAATGCAGTTAGTAGTTTGGTGGCGTGATAATGTACTAAACATGGTGTTTAAATGTGCTAGAAAAATCAGTTCTCCAATCAATAAAAGTTGAACAAGTGGGAACATCTGAAAGTGTGAGTCCGCTAAAACAGGAACAGCTAGAAGTGAATGCAGGACGGAGCAAATATTTGTCGGACACCAGGTGTAACTTTGTCGCGCCATTAGGGTGGGAGACGCTACACATTTCCCACCTTACACTCTTCTTTAAAGCTGCATTCGTCACGCTTTGGCCAGTAGGGGGCAGAAAAACATCAAAACACACAGACCGTTGTTAGTCTTTCTCCACCAGCTACAGTTGGTGCTAGCTTTGGAAATGCCTGTCCTCTGGGGAAAAAAACGAGTTTGGTGTTAAACTCTCAGTGATTGTGTCACAATGAGCAGGTTCACATTAAGCAGAGGCGTGTGATGATATGAAAATATTGATTCATGAAGGTTTAACCATGGAAGCAGCTACATGTAATAAATTAAACTTGCTCAGTGTTTAAGACCTACTTTGACACTTGGTGGTGACTGTGAATCCTTCTAGACATTAAACAGTAGTACTCGACATTATGTGACCTGCAATATGCTGTGACTTTGTAGGTTATGGCCACGCTGCTCCACGCACTGACGCTGGCAAGGCCTTCTGTATGTTTTACGCAGTCTTGGGCATCCCTCTGACCCTGGTCATGTTCCAGAGCCTGGGCGAGAGGATCAACACTGTTGTCCGCTACCTCCTGCGCAGAGCCAAGCGGGGCCTGGGTTTACGGAAGACCGAGGTGTCCATGGGGAACATGGTCCTGGTGGGTCTGCTGTCGTGCATGAGCACCCTGGGCATCGGAGCCGCGGCCTTCTCCCACTTCGAGGACTGGACCTTCTTTAATGCCTACTACTACTGCTTCGTCACGCTCACCACCATTGGATTTGGGGACTTTGTGGCCCTGCAGAAGACAAATGCCCTCCAGAAGCGACCACCCTACGTGGCATTCAGCTTCATGTACATCTTGGTGGGGCTGACGGTCATTGGGGCTTTTCTTAACCTGGTGGTCCTGAGGTTTCTCACTGTCAGCACGGAGGAGCCTGACACGAGGCCTGAAGCCGTGGTAGAGGAGCAGGCAACGCAGCCTAAGGACACGCAGGAGGATGGGGAGGTGTCGGGGGAGGAGGAGGAGGCAGAAACTGCCGGTGTCAGCTATAAAGACGACGGCGAAGACGGACACAGCAGCCTGTGCAACCTGAGCCTTCCCATGGAGGCGGGCACCAGCTGTATGAATCTCCTCGCCTCTCCCCTCGAGGAGCGCAGACTTGTTTTATCTGAGCACCCAAAGCTCTCAGAACCCAGCAGACTCAGGGCCTTGTTCTCCTGCGTGTGCTGTGGCCCGGACATTTACGAGAGCCCCTCCCCGTCTCGCAGCGACCAGGCGGGCGGCCACAGCAACCCCGTCTTTTACAACTCCATCTCCTACAGTGTGGACCGTGCCTCTTGCAGCTCCTGCACCGCGTCGTCACAGGCCTCCCCGAGCAGCGTCGCTCTCTGTCTGGGCAAGAACCGTCCTCACACCAGGAGGAAGTCGTTATAACTCTCTGGACCTTTTGACTCAGTGGCCTTTTCTTCTGGACTTTTTATACACACCACAGACCTCTGATTTTCTGCTCGATGGCTTTCGTAGTCGTGAATGTAGCATTGAATGTAGCAATGTAGCATATCATGAAAATGCTTTACAGTTTATAATATATTTTTTCACATGGACTATTATTGTAAAGAGAAATGTGTTAAAGAAAATGATTAAAGTATGTGTTACCCATGTTTTCCACTATTACTGTCCCAAAAAGCCGTGTTATGTAAATCTGCAGGAAGTGTGTGTAAATGTCCCTGAGAAAGGTTAGCGGCATTCATACTTTAAGGGTCATACTTTCTGCCGTGTTGTCACCTGTGACCTTCAGTTATTTCCACTGTGTAATTATCAGCGTCTCCCGTTAGAAACGTACACTCCGTCGCTCCGGCTGGTTCCCGTGGTAACATTTCCATCCTCATTGCTCAGTGCAGTGGAAAACTGGACACTGACACGTACGGTACAGTGAGCGGTGATTGTCTGAAGGCGGCATCCAGTCCAGGCCGCGTTCTCTGTGATGAATGAGTGTGTCAACAAAGCATGAAATATGAGCAGTTGCACTAGAAAGTCGCAAATTAGAAATGTCTCCAAATGAGTGTTTAATTGCCTTTTTTAGATGTGTGGCTGAATCACACAGTGCTATTATTCACACTAGATTCTTAATTCTAACCATGAGACAAGGAAATTGTGAATTTAATCAGACTTTTTTAGATTTCAAAAAAACTTTCTTTTTTCGTTTCATGCTACTCAGCCTGTGAAAACGGCCTCTGTGGCTTTGGAGGAGCTTTGTAAGGTCTGAGGGAAAAACATGATGACATCATCAGCTGATGACGTCATTAGGGTTGGCTTCAACTGGGCTTGAGGTTAGAAAATATGTAACAGAAAGCCTGCGTTACAATCTGGAGATGGATGGGAAAAGGTGGGCATTAATTAACCAGGCAGGGATCAAATCAAAACAATGCTATTGGTTGCATTATTGGAAATGTAGGCTGCGTTGTTTTTGGTGCTAGACGAACAATCAGGAAATCTTGGCATCTTCAGTTTCTGAGTTACCCAACGTTCCTGAAATGCAATACTAAAATTGTGTGTCTGTGACCCGTTAAATCTCTGATTTGTAGCTTAGTGTTTAATCTGGCACAAGAGAAAATAAGAGGACTGTTAATTGTTCACAGTTTGATCTCGGGTCTTCAAAACACATTTTAACAGTTGTAGTCATATTTCCACTTAAATCAGCAGGGTAGACACATTGTTGAGAGCAGCAGCTCTCAGGTTCTTGACCTCAATTACAACAACTGTGCTGGTTGTTATTGTAACAATCAAATCACAAACCAATTTACACCTCACATTTGAAGCACCGTGAAGAAGAACCAGTGGTTAAGGGACTGTCCATTAACACGAGGAGCCATATTCCTGCATTGTAGGCATCTACATCTGCCCTGATGAAGAACACCACTGACAATAAGTCACTGAAGCTCGACGGCTCATTTTAAAATCAGAAGAGGTTGCCTACTGCCAACTCCCCAAGATGGCTTCATTTGCAATTATTATCTGCTCCTGTTAATATTTCAGTAATCTGCATCTGACCTGTACTTTGACCTCCCTGTGGAGGGTCAACTGGAGGATCACTTAAGTTTTGCATTTCATTGTATTATTAACAGGAACCTCTAGTGGTAACCAGCAGTGACTTGCGTTTAATTTCCTCCTGCTCCCAGCTCTGACACTAGGGGGCAGCATTGGTCTATGTGAACACCAGGAGGACTTCTGCAACACAGGCAGTCCTGTTTGCTTTGTCTTCGCATGATAAAGTGATGATGAATTATTTTGGAATTTATGGAACCACAAGAATAGCAGTAATGTAAAAACGCCTTATATTCTCATATGTGTGTGTGTGTTTCAGCACACAGGAGATGGGACTTTGTCCTCAGAGGTGCATGCCGGCACCTTTGCATAAGGAATTAAAGCATGAACTCTGACTTCAGCGGGAATAGATGTTCGGATGCTGGATATGCGAGCACAAGCTTTTCAGTCAAGCGTGAAGACGCGTGTGAGCTTCCACTATCAACCAGAAAGGATAGGCCTGAACAACCAACACAAAGATCACTATTTTGTAAACGATGAAAGCTGGTGTCTAATTTCCATAATTACCCCATTACTATTGCAGATAGTGCTTCACTTTATGCTGTTGTGAGGCATAAGATGCCTCCTCATATCTGTGACTGTTGCTTAAAAAGTTTGTACACAGGCCTATTTGCAAAAAACCCCAACACAGAAGAGGCATATGATAGTGTAAAATGAATTTCACATGCAGAAAGAGTGGCTTTACTTTGACACAAAGACCTGTGTATGTTGTTACAGGTGGTGAGCTGAGGGTGGTGGTAGTGATCTCTTTAAAACAGCCATATCCTGTCGGTGAGTCTACTTTCCACGCACACACACACACAACCATCTGTTCACATTTACGGAAAAGCAGTCCTGTGGGAAGTCCGGTCATTTTGATATTATGTTCTTGCTTTCTTTAATGATGAATCTTCACACAGGTTCCCCGGTATAGCTCTGCTGAGGTTGCCGAACATTATGCTCAGCTCTGTGGGAGAGAAAGTGACTGAAAATCTATAAACTTGTAATTCAAAATGTTAAAGCCCATGCAGCAATGCTCGAGTTCATTAAAAACAACAACAATAACCTTCAGTTTACCTCACTGTTCATTGATTACAGTGTTGAATTCATCACCAAAGCATTGCACGCATGTTTATCCTCTGCTGTATCATAGCTGTTCAGGGCCGAGAGAGTGCTGGAATAATTGATTATATTGTTAAAGATTTTTCTTTGTGAACACACCCTGTTAAGTCATTACCATCCCGTGTTGAAGGGCCTTTCATGTGCAGTTGCATGGTAAGGGATACCAGAATAAATAGGAAACAAGCTGTCGGTTCAAGCAGAGTGCAACTCTTCTCTCGGTAAAGGGTAAATAATACATTTTATATGGCAGAAATAGGGGGCAGGACGTTCATAATACAAGCCGCATGCATATTAAGTATTCATGAATGTATAAATAAACTGAACCAATAGCGGGTGCCATGTTTTGATTATGGAGAAATATGTTGGTGTGCGCTGCATTCACAGTCTTTCAAGAGGATTATTTTCCTGTATGTTTATCAGGCTGCAAACGCAGATTCTCCGTGGCGCACAGTGAAAACAATGAAAGATTAAGGAACCAAAAACAAGTGTCGTATTTATTCAGATTGATTAAATAAGTAGAAATTAGGATTCAGTTGGAGAGCATTGAGAAAACAGACATTAATAGGAGTTCATTGGTTGGGTAATTGCTCATTAGTTTTAATTTCCAGCCAATTTGCTGCTGGTGTCGAACAGTGTAATAAAGGCTGTTTTTACTCCGTGGTTGTCTTCTCCAATCAGATGCTGTGTTTGACTCTGTGTCTCTTTGCCATTTTGTGTCAAAAGGATCCCGCTGCTTGATCACTTGTAGTTTAATTTAGTATAATATATATATAAAGGAGAGGTTGAATCACCCTCTAATTGATGGGCCTACATCTCTGCAATAATGACATCCCAATTTGTTAACAGTTATCATAAGTAAAGTGAATAAAACTACTTTCTGTGTTTGCTCATGATGTCCATGTCACCTCCCAGCAAGGAGACCCAAGCCTTCATGTAACCACATTAGTGTGCTTTGGGTGTTTGACTTACTAGTCAAACAAGACACTCTCAAACACTCCCTCGTTTTTCCATTTTAAGGCAAAATGCTCCACTGAATTTATGTCCTATGGAAGTGTTTTCGCAGGTATGTTTGGCAGTGGTTGGTCCAGACTGAAATATCAAACTACTGGGTTTATCGTAATATAATTTTGCAGAGCATGTGCATCAGTGATTCTTCTTCTAGCGCCACCCTGAGGTTGACATTTGTGGTTCAGAGCGGACGGTCACCTCCGGGTCTGAAAAGTAGAGCCAATGTGGAGGTGCCTTAAAGACAGATTGCATAGAAGTCTATGAGAAAATGACCCTACTCCTCACTTGATTTACTACCTCAGTAAACATTGTAGACATGAGTTTATGGTCTCGAGTCTTCTTCAATAAATCATTTAGTAAATTATGGTCCCATTTAAAATAGACCATAAAGCAGAGTATGCTTTAGGGCAAGGCTACCCTGTCAGTGACAGGTCGCTACCACGGCGTTGTTTTTGTCTTATAACTCTAACCTTTCACAGTGTGTTTCAGTTTATGAAAGCTAACTGTAACATTTTGGTTGCTTACAATTGTCTTAATCAGTTTTTGTTTGTACTTATCTCTCCCTCTTATGTCAGTTTTGCTTACAAAAAACCAAGACAGACAAAATGCCAAACTCAAGGCTTCTAAACTGTAACCATGGGTGACGTCACGGTGACTGCCTCCACTTCTCAGTCTATGGTTCAAAGTGAAATGACTTGACATTTACTGGATGGATTGAGGAAAGATTTGCTACAAATATTCAAGCACCCCTCAGGATGAAATGCAAAGACATGCAAATTTCTTCAAAACTAATGACATTCTCAAGCTCAGCTGTTCTTTGTGTTGAGTGCTAAAAAGCCAAAGTTAGCATGCTAACAGGTTAAACTAAGATGGTGAACATGGTAAACATTATATCTGCTACACCTTAGCCAGTTAGCAGTCAATGTTGACATGCTGATGTTAGCATTTAGCCTCACGCAGCAACTAGGGGGTCTGTGGGGGACTCTAGGGGGGACTCTTGTTTGTCACATAATGGGGAATTTGAAGCAAAGCTGTATAAGGCACGACAGCGCTACCTAATAAAGCCGCCTAAAAGGAGAGTGACCTCTTTGAGCCAAATCATTCCCAGTGATTGAGTCTGTACAATTACCAAGGTTGGCTGTTATCCATTTCCTCCTCAGTTGCACCATTTACCAAGACAACAGCTTCTCTGAGCACACGGCTTCCTGTTTAAACAGTGGCTCGGAGATGGAGGGAGAGA